CCTTGTGCATAGTTATATTGACACAAGATAAGAAAAAAAAACTTGAATTATAAGTTTATTACACATAAGTAAATTAAGGATTACACGGAAGGCCAAACTGACATTAGGCTAGAAAACATTTGTGGGGTCAATCTGTAAGCATGACGAACAGCAGGGGTGTAGCATGACAAACCTTTCATTTATGAGTCTTCATACAATTTTTACATTTGTGTGTTTGGAGACCGCTACAAATAGCCATCTTTTATAGTCTCTGGAGCTGAAATGGACAAAGCGTTTTAGTCCGCCTGAATTGGATCTCCTTCGCCTTGTTGATTGCGTACGGAACACCGACCGCATGGCCGTCTTTGCTCTGAGCCTCTCAGTTCCAGGAAGACCTCTTACCTGGAAGAGTAGGAAGAGGAGAAACAGGAATATACTTGAAATGCTGAGAGGACATCGGGGCCCGATAGCCACAAACCAGAGATGAACTGTACTCGTCCTACCTGGTTTGTGGCTGTCAGGAAGAACTAAATAATTTCTTGAGTGTGGAGAAAAAGCCCTCTTGTTTCAACTGGCTTTCCTTCTGGCCATGCCCTTCCTTAAATTGCTTACCACTGCTGCCCCCACCTGGACACAGATTCACCCTGCGTCAGACAGACTAGTGGAAAGATGAACGATCTTCACGTTTTGCGCTAGGAAATGATCCAATTCCACTTCGAAAATTATTTGCTACAAAGTCCAGTAACTCAACTTAGGAGTGAGCTAACTTTACTGATATAAGCTGTTGCTCTGCAAATTTTGGTGGTGTCAGTGAAATTCACAACAAGCAGTTTTGCAGATAATGTACAAACCTTCAAAATATGAGGCTTCGAGCTCTTTATTGCCACTCCCAGTTCACACGTACTCTAAAACTACACTTAAGACAGGACTACTCATTCTACCATATGAATTTGCCTAGCAAAAGTCTCCTAGCTTCATGCTAAACAGCTGCTGGGAATATTCTTTATCCTTTACAAAAAATTAATTTGCATGCATTATATTCTTCCCTTGTGGTCAGAGCACACAACAGACACACAATCCCCATTGAATTGCACAAAATGATACACAAACCAGCTATTTACATTCTATTTAATTATCCTGTTAGTGTATTTTATAGTGAAACTAAATTTCTTTTGGGGGGATATTGTGGAACCGATTAAAATACATTTCCACTCATTTCAGGGTGGAAATACGATTTGAGTAGATATGAGGGATGGCTACCTGTGGTGGTGGCTGTCACACCATTAACTGTTCCTTCCACATCCGCCTCATCCTCGGCGTAGCTCAAGAGTAGGGATCTCTGCCGGTCTGTCAGTGTCCTGGCGGAGAGGGATATTTTTTGAAAATTAAAAAATAAACCCAATGATGATCGGCACATCCCCCTTTCACATCTTACTTGGGTACTTTAATTTTGATATGGACATAGTGATCTCCAAAACCGTAGCCACTGACGCGGGCGATTCCTTTCCCTGCCAAGTGGATCCTCTGGTCTGTCTGAGTGCCAGCTGGGATCTGATCCAATGACCAGAGCGACAATCCTCATATCAAAGTCCAATACTTGACCATTGTTGCCTGCATGATGCATTTTTGGAAAGCATTTACCGATAAATTAAGCGTTTCATAGAGGCCTTGTGTCCTGGCCGTGCCGCCCAGGATTGCTTGTGCCACAGAGACGTAAAGGTCAGAGTGGATGTCAGCGCCATTCCGCCTGAAGACTGGACTCTTTTGGACCTGAAAGCACAAACCATTTACATAAAAGCCCTTTCATTTTTTTTCATCTTGACTGGCATAAACGAGGGACAAATGTGAAATAGGGCATTTATTTGAGAGGAAGTCTTCATTGGCACAAATTTTGCTGCGCTGGATGGCACCCAGGAAGTTTCATGCAAATCTGATGCAACATTTCAAAAATGAGTGATTCTGTGACTATCAAAGAATGAAATAGTTTTGTCTTTATTTGAAGTTTGGTGTTTATTCGCGAGGAGGCTTTTGCACACAGCTCTTGATTGGTCGAAGAACTGTTCTCCATTCAAATTACAATGACAATGGAACGAATCCAACTATCATAGGAGGAAAAACGAGCCGCTACTTGAGGTGAGGCGTTTATTATTGAATAACCCAGCAATGAAACGTCCCTTGTGGCCACTCACCCTAAACGTGATGAAAATCTCCTTCTTTCCAACAGGCATCCGAACTGTCTGGCCATCCTCCACTCCTAAAAGGACAACACGTTCAACAGTTAGTTGCTGTTTGTTACTTTTTTTTTGGTGGTTGTGTTCAGAATTGTGGTTGTGACGGACCAGCAGGCACGGGGACCGTGACAGTCTTCCTTTGCTTGGTCTGTCCGGTCCCGCGGCAGGTGTGACACGGGTTGGAAATCACTGTCCCCTTGCCACCGCAGCGTCGACACGTGGAGCGCATCACGAACGGGCCCGTGTTCACCGTCTCCTGCGGGGGGGGGGACGTAGTAGGCGGTTCAACTCACCCGTTAAGAGTAACAGGTGTTTATGTGGTAAGGCACCCACTTGAAAGATCTGTATTTTTTTGTGTGTGTGTAAAGAGTAGGGCATGTTGGCATTTATTATGGTAAAGCATTTATTTGAAAAGAGAACTGTACTGGCCACTATTTGAGGACAAGCAGTTAACATGCTTTTAGGGATGACAGGAAGTGGGTAGAGGAAGATAGTATTACCATGCCGGAGCCGTTACAGTAGTGGCAGTGCTGGACCTTGGTGCCCGGCTCATGGCCTTTACCGTCACAGCGCTGGCAGGCAGCTTCCGTGTTAATGGACATCTCCTTGTTGACTCCCTTGGCTGCCTGAGTGAACGTCAACTCCATGATGTACTGTGCAGGGAAAACGACACACAAATTGTAGGTACAGGCTATGTCAATATGCCCCCCCCCCAAAAAAAAAGGGATCCTATATTATTTTTTAGATATCGTGGTACTACGAGGTATAATTTTCGTTTGTTCTGTGACCATGTTTGTCAATTAAAACACTTGTATCTCCCACTGTAATCATGTTTCAGCTACTTCACAACAGACCTCTTGCGGCTGTTCAAAAATGGCATTAAAGTCTCCGAATCCACGTCCTGCAGAGAATTCTCCAAAGATCTTGCGGAAAAGCTCCTCCGGGTTCACGTTTTGTGTCTGCCCGGACCAGTACTGCTGCCCGCCTCCTGCTTGTCCGCTGTCGAAGCCCGCAGATCCGTACGTGTCATACTGCTTCCTCTTTCCTTCATCGCTAAGTACCTGAGAAATAATTGTTACATTATAGAGGCTTGTGTGTTGTAATAATAAGTATAAAACTTAAAAGTGTAATAATTACAAACCTCATAAGCTTCTGCCAGCTGCGCAAATTTCTCCTTAGCTTTTGGGTCATCTTTATTCGTGTCCGGGTGGTACTTTTTGGCCATCTGCAGGACAACAAACAGGCTGTGAAAATACAGTCAAAATGTGAGCTGCAAATCTTCCTGGCAAAAGCAGACCTGATAATAGGCCTTCTTGATCTCCTTCTGGTTTGCTGTGCGGGATACCCCAAGGACCTGGTAGTAGTCCTGCTTATTCGTGGCTGACGTGCTTGTGTGAAATGCACACTGGGGGGCTTTGAAACCTGAGTGTAAAACAGCACATCTGAATTAGGCTTAACTTAAAACTAACAGGAAATGTTTGCGTTTAATTTTGCTTGGCAGCATCAATTATGTAATAGGCTAGAGGAAAAACATGAAAGTAAAACATGCCTAACTCTGACGGTGTCCTCTGCCACTGTTCAACGACCTGTGTGTATGCTTCAAAAATCCCTCATGTGCAACAATATCAAGAAATTCTAATTGAATTTAAGTCCAAGCTCAAAAAAGATTATGACAGTAAACTAAATGTAGCCTCTCCTAGCATAGCTTAGCCATATGCTAAAACCAAACGTCACTTACCTAGTAGCCCCTTCAATGTCAATCCTTTCCCAGCCCCGCCACACGCCGAGCTCCCACTAGTCCAAAGCATCCCGGTTCCAAACGTGCAGACGCCACGGAGTGAGCCACGAGAAGCGGAGACAACGGCGGCCGTCGCAAGGAGGTGCCGGTGCTGCCCGGAGGACACGATGACAGTTAGCCAGCGTGAGGAAGAGCGAGCAGCTGAAGACGCCATCATTCCCACAGTGGTCGCCTCGTGGCGTACTGCGCATGACAGGAAGTACTAAGTCACTTTGTTGTTGCGTCATATTTGCTTCTAGAAAACTGTATGCCGGCATCAATAAAACAATATTAATTACAAATAAACAAAAAAAGGACTGCTTGAAAGCGACCCGTTGAAACAAACAGATGACAATTAATTATCTGAAGAGCAGGAAAATTGGTTTCCAATTTAAAGTTATCAAAATGTGATCTTATGCTGCGTACTACGGAGCCCCTAAGGGGACACCATTGAAAGTCAGACTTTTCCGATTTACGACAAGGAAAGGTGCACTAGAACGCCCATTTCAACTGAGGTCGGAAAAAAAATGACCCAAGTTCACCGGCCGTCTTCAACTCTCGTCACTCGACGATTGGAACACATGGATAGTTATGGGAATCAGCAATCTTTGCTGTTTCCATTCGCCTCGAAAGCTTTGATGACTGGGATAAGTCCGACTTTCCATCTTGTTTGATTTCAGCATTAAAATGTGGTTCAAACCAACGAAAAGAGCAATGTTACTTTCAGGGTTCAGCAGTGTTGGAAGAGCGACGCTGTCACCTGCTGGCGTTGATTGACATTGCTTGAAGCGTAAGTAAACAGCACCAAACTGTTTTCTTTTTCTTTTAATCTTTGCTATTGATATTTGGGTCAACCCTTCTTTCTCGTACTTAAGATGTAATGAAGGACTGAATGTAGTTATTAACTTGCATGCCTCAACCCCAAAGCGAGTGCAAGACAGGAATGCTTTTTTCCCATTCAGCAAATTAATACAGGAATTCAACCAAAATAACAAATATCATAAAGGCACTGATCACCACCACCTCAAAACCCTTTTTATTTAGTTTTTTTGTCTTTATTTTTTGCATACACAGACTGAAGCCTATAAACAATGCAATTAATTTATTTTCACTCATCCGGCATCTATACATTACACTTACACATATACATTGACGGGGTAAAAGAAATAGTTTAACATTTAATAAAAAACATCAATAGCAATAACATCAGTTGAAACTTCAACAAATTATTAAAGTGTCTTCAGAAAAACAAATCAACAAAATTTTCACATTTATTGTACAAAAATGCACGCATGGTGAGCACGTCAGCCTAAAAGTGCACAGAAACAAGGTGTGCGCATGTTTCTCCTGTGCTTGATGTGTCTTTTTTCCATTATGTAAGGTCGAGTGAACACTGAATTGTGTGAGTGTGACTGCTTGTCGATCTTATGTGTCGTGATTAACTGGTGATTAGTCCAAGGAATAACAACCTTTTTCCCCTTCTCGGCCAAAGTCAGCTAGGATCCACTCTGGCTTCCCTGTCATCTTAAATAGGATAAGTGATATAGATCAGATCCCCAACCACCAGGCCGCAGACTGTTACCGGGCTGCATAAAATGACTGAAAAAAAAGATACTTCATTCATATATAATGAAGTTTTAATTGAATCAATGAATCCTGCCCAACTTGTCAAAAACACACTGAACTCTTGCTTTCTTTTCCAGAATTGTATCTCTGTGAAGGGCGACTTTCTGGCCACCCAAAGAAAATCTCGGATCAGACTGAACATAAGTAACACACTCACAATTTTCCCAAGACGGGACCGGCGCCAGCAAGTACAGTGAGTGTATCTTGAGAGCTGTATTTGTAATCATTTGTTTTTGTTTGTCTAATGGTATGATTGAAAAAGAGAATGAACAATTGTTTGCCACCGAAGTTGTCCACTTAAGAGTTGACGAACACTTCCAAGAGCGCGGCCACTGAGTGCATGCGGTAAAAGATGGCGAAAGGCAATCCGACGTTCACGATGGCGGCCCAGATGCTGAAGTCGTAGAATTCGGTTTCGGCAGGGTGGTCGAACTGGGGGCGAGCGCCAAATGCCGGCATGATCCAAAGCTGGAGTTGAAAAACAAGACAGTAGAAATAAACGTTTTGGGATTGGGTTGGTTAGAAATAATTGAGTGGAACACCCCCCACCCCCAAAAAAAAACAAAAACAAAAAACAGCGGTGGGAAGTACAAATACTTTGTTGCTCCTCTTAATAATACTCTTATTCCCTACATGTGAAAACAAATATCTGTACGTTCTACCCCTTACTTTGTCAAAATAGGCATGTCAGATTTTTCAATCAATGACGACAACTTAAACAGAGTGAGTTGAGGTCAACCGCAGGCAAGATTTGAATTGATCCGTATAAGCGGCTTATAAGGCAGCACAATGAACCAGCCAGCATTAACAATGATGACGCAACTGATTTGGAGAGGCAAGATTGTTTATAGAGAATTGTTTCATTAAAAAAAAAAAACTCTGTTCTTTTTTGCTCTTACTTCAATTAAGGTGTTCAATCAGTACAGTCAACCACAACATGTTTGAGGTTCGACATTTGGAGACTCGCCCCTTCAAGGAATGTTTCCAGACCTATTCTGTATTACTCAAACGCTTAGCCGTCCCTGTTCTCAGGACGAAGCAGTTTTATTACTTTGGCACCATCTGGTGGTATCTTGATGTAAAAGCAGTATAAATTGACGCAAATTGATGAGTTTCATTTAGACATAAGTAGTGCTTTGCTGCCATTTGTGGCATCTATAGGCAATTAAAAACCTTTTTAAAAACCAGCGATCGCTGGTTTCTGGGGTTAACTGGACTTCTACCTTGACCATTTTTTTTTCATCGCTGGTTTCTGGGGTTAACTGGACTTCTACCTTTACCATTTATTTTATTTTTTTTTTTGGTTTGACTTCTACTTTAGTGTAGGACATGAGCACTTTTGCCACCTTAGTGAAATGATGTGCGTAGGATACTCACAATAATATTGGCCAACAGCAAAAAGACGGAAACTTCCTTCAGGACCCTCCTCTTCCACGTCAGTTTATGTGGGTAGTGTACCGTGTGGCCGTACGGGGTCATCGCCGGCAGCTCCAGCTCGGGCTTAATTCTTATTTCCGATCCTTCCAGATGGTTCATCTCTTTGCTGTAGTGCTGCACGGCATAGATGTTGGTCACCGAGGTTATGGTCTCATGGTGTTCCTCGTGGAAAGGCTCGCGGTGGAGACCTTCGACGATGAAGAAGTTCTGCAGCCCGATCTGGATCACCATCAGTATAGCCCAGGTCAGGTTGAGCCTGTTCAGGTGGCCCTGGGCTCCAGATGCCACCATGGCGACTATAGTGAAGTAGCTGATGATGAACTGCCCCATGGAGGTTCCCACGAGCAGGCCCACGTCCAAGCTCCGCGTGGGGTTCTTCTCCGAGTCGTGCTCCCGGCGGTCCAGCTTGTAGATGGTCGCGCCGACCAAGGTGGCCACCAGCATCAGACTTATGATAACAATGTTAATGATGAAGTGAATCAGCAGCGCTTGATCTCTCTTGCTGTGGTCATCTTCTTTGTCCTCCTTCATGTCCATCTCGTACACGATGAAGGTGGCCAGACCCGCGAATACCAGAAGGATTCCAACCAGGGGCCCAATGAGCGCGTCTCTGAGGTGGAACTTGTGGGCGTGGCTGTGGCCGTGCGGGTCGTGGGCCTCGCCCAGTCGGCCGACGTTTTTCCACATGACGTAGGCCATGGCGGAGGCGAAGAGGCTGTACTCGATGTTGAAGGGGTACAGGTAGAAATAGGCGTCTTTGAACAGGCCGCAGGATGTGTGGCTGCACTCGCATTCGTCCTCTCCGTAACTCGCTGTGACAGGAAGAGAGAATGGGGTTACATTGTTGCCATTTACTGTCACCAATACGCGAATGCAGGGGTGGGCAAAGTATGGTCTGGTCTGCTTTCTAAGAAAAACCTTGCCCATCTGCGCACGCTGAAACTCAAATGTGGTCTTGAGCTCAAACGTTTGTCCAGCTCCTGTCAAATGGCTTCTCCTGTACCTTTGCTGATGTACAGGTTCCGTCCCCAGAGCTTATGGGAGCTGTTGTCATGGTGGTCGTTGGATTCATGCGTGTTGTTGCCGTGATCGCCGCCGTGGTCGTCGCCGTGGTCGTCGCCGTGGTCGCCACCGGGGTGGCCTGTTTGG